ACAACGATGGTTGGCCGTGGGGGCAGAGCTAACCCTGAGCTGCCCTGTCATTGCCCACTGAGCTATTGCTGCCTTGTCTGAGTAGAGTGGCCTTTGTTTCTTTGGGTCCCAGATGCTGATTTCTTGCTTAGTAACAATTAGTCTGAGAATCAGGTAAATTCCTATCTCTCTGGATAAGCAAGGCTTTTGCTGGAGCGCCTTACCGCCAGTGGCAAAGCATCTACTGCTAACCAGCTACTGAGGGTGCAGGGGAGTTGGGGAATCTGGGCAGACGAAGAGCAAGCCTGTATTTAACGCGAGGGTGAGCGGTTGGTTTAGTTCTAGCTCTGCGCTCATGAGCTTCCGTTATCTCTGTCAAAAAGGGTATCAATTCTTCCTTCAGTCACTGGGTCCCCAAATCCTTGGGGCAGGGGATTGTCCCTTCCTTTTCGTACTCCTGGTTATTGTCTCAGGAGGATCATGCAATGCCGCAGGACCAAGCTAAAGGTCAAACTGCTCCTGGCCACGCTGGCAACATGCCTTCCAGGTGACATTACCTTTCCGTTGTTTTCTTGTCATGGTCGTTGCTGCTTTACGCTCAATTCTCTGCTGAAGGATGTGTGAGGGGTCCCTGCCACACACACAGAGGCACAAAGAGAGATGGACAGACTGACAACGGAGGGGCGCGCATTGACGAGAGACCAACTGATACGCAGCTCCAGCTGATGGAGTTGGAGCGAGCAATGCAGGCACCAGTCCTCCCAGCCCTATGAGCCAGTGCTGGAAGGACTGCCAGAGAAGAGCTCACCACCCAGCCCCATGCTCACAACGATGGGAGCGAAACACTGTGCAGGAGGTCACGTTAACTGCTCGAGGCTGCACAGAAACGATCATGGGATCTCAGCTGCCTTCCCCAGTTCAGGCCAGCTTTGACAGAGGGCAACTGTGGCTACCCTGGTATGTGCGGAGAAGCAGAAACATCAGCCAGGAGGCAACAGCCCTGGAAACCCCTCTTGGCCACACTGCAACACTGGATGGACCCAGCTCGGTCACCCACAGCCCTTGCGGGGGTGGTGCTCAGAAGCCTGACCCAATCCACCACCCATGCCTCAGCATTTCTTCTCTAGATTGATAGTGCCAACATGCCCAGCGCCGTAGTGAGGCGTGAAGGTAGGACCCCTGCACATGATCACAAAACAGGCCAGGGACAGCAGGAGTCCCACACACCCAGGTTCCACCTTCATGCTCACCTGGTTGTCTCCCTTGGGAGGGGTTTTATCCCCCTCTTCTTTGGCAGAGGCTTTGCTGTCACACTGGTTTTGGGAGCACAGCCAGAAGAAGGAGCAATTCTTTCTGGATTTGGAAAGACAAATATGCGGAGGTTCTCATGGGCTTCCCTCCAGGCAGGACTCACAGCTGTGGCCATCACCAGGAGGAGAGCTGGAGGGACCCTGCGATGACACCTGTCCCTATAGTGCTACCACAGCATTAACTCACTGTCTCATCCCGTTCGTGGGCAGCAGGCTATCCGGCAATGGAAATCCTGCACCCTCCCAGTATTCCCTGTCCTCTGCTACAGCATCTTCCCTGTGGCTAATTTGAATCCCCTCTTCTTGCCACTTAAACCTCAGATTGCCTGTCCCACCTGCAGTGGGTAGTTTATTCCCCTTCCCTCCAGAGCAGCCAGTGCCTGGGACAGCGGGTAGGTCTGAGACAAACTGCCACCCATAGAGGTGACACTTCATGCACAAACTGCTTTTCCTTTCTCTACCCCTTGAACACGGTGCCTCATGGTAGCCAAAGGCTGACTAGTCACAGCGGGGAATTAACATCACACCAAGCTCTCTCTTACAGATATTGTCCTCCACCTGCTAATCCAGAACCTGGTTCAGCTGGTGGACATGAGGCCACACAACTGTGATCACAGCATGCCAGCCTGTCACCCCTGCAGCACTGTGACCCAGCACGAAGGTCCATGGCGTGGGTGGCTAAAGACCCAGGCTACCTTCCTGCTGTCACCCCAGAAAATCTATGAGGCACTTGGGCAAGGTGCTTTGGGCCGTGCCCACACTTCCAAGTCCCAAAGGAGATGCCCAAGGCTTGGCTAGACCAAACCTCGACCATCATGATCTAGTGCTGGCAAGGGTTGGCTCCACGTGGGAGGCTGGTTTGGAGGCATCCAGAGGCTCCTTCCCACCAGTATTTCCATGATTCACTCACCATTCACTTTTGCCTCTTTCATCTCCTCTGGGTTTGAATGGATCCGTGGGGTGGCCAGGATGGAGCCCTCACTGCTGACATCAGCTTCGTCCCCTATGAAAATAAAAAAGCCCCTCTGAGTGTTGTTTTCCTTCTAAACATAGGTGTTTTAAGTACCATCCTAAACACATCAGCAAGGTGCTGCTGCCTTCTATGCACAGCCAGTTATACAAAAATAAGAGCAGTGTTAGTAACATCTTTTGCCTTTCTCCAGCTCTGTCCTCCAGAATATTTACAATCTTTTCAGTACATGAGAGAAACTGATCTCTCCTGCACGCAGGGAGGGGAAAAACCCTGCCATCACTGTGACGAGGGAGAAGCAGAGTGAGATGAGGTGGCTTGTGGACAAATCGGGTCTTGAAACAAGAAGGGAAACAGAAACCAGAAGGTGTAAAGTACATCTTTGTCAGTCTCAAGCAGCCCATCCTACACCTGTGATTTCCCACCCTCGTGGCTCCGGAGTTATGACACGGAGCAAGGAGCATGCGAGAGCAGTGTTGTGCTTTGATTTTTCCAGCAGCTTCGGCTTTGATGTGTTAATCTCTGGTGGCCCTAAACAATATTAGGGTTTCCGTTGGGAAACGGGCTCAGTTGGGAAGTTGGACTGAGGACAGTGTGTTTGAAACCTCGACGAGACATCGGAGTTTAACATGGTTTCTCTCAGCGTGCTTTACTTGGGAGCTTGGCTGCACAGCCCCAGGGCTGTGACTGCCATGTGTAATCGCATGTGTTAAGGAAGGCTAGTGAACGTGGGAACTTGTGTTGCCTCTCTGGCCTTCGTGCGTCTCCACATGGCTGTAGTGAGCCCTGCAGTGAAGTTTTGGAAACCTCCTGCAGCTGCTGGCGTGTCTTTAGCTCTCCCTGCACAGCTTCACTACCAGCAGATTTGCGGTTCATTAAGATAGGTGGCCCCGGAGTTTTCTTCTGAAGGACTTTTATCTGATCCCATTTGCTGTCAACAAGCAGCAACTTGGGTTACGGAGATCTCACTCACCTTCCCAAAGGGATGGTTGCTGGACCATCCTCCCCACCTTCATGGATTCACTCAGATTCACCGTCCTGTCAGCTGTGGAGGGAGAACAGCGCTCAGCGTCAGCGGGAATAACAGACACCAGAGCACAGATGGGATGAGGTGCAGGACACAGTGGCAGCTACTGCACAAGCTAGGGGCTTCTCCAAAATGATGGTTAGAGCTTTCTTCCTTTCAGGTGAAGGCAGGATGGAGTCCTTGGGCAGGGTCAGGCATTGGAAAAGGAAAGTTGAAAGCAAACTTGCTGAGGCTGGCTTCTCTTTACGCTGTTGGGAATCCAGACTGACTTCATTGGGCACAACCCCCCCTCATAGCATGAGGCCTCTGTGGCAGACGGGGGTACAAAAACTAATGTACTAGACCCTGCTGGGACAGGGGAGGAGGATTTTACTACTAGAGGAGCAATCGAGTCCCTCACCACCAGAGAGTTTCCTCCACGTTTACCCCACATGAGTGGGAACCCACAGCAGTATTTTAAGGGGATTAATTATGTCTTGGAGCTTCTGTGTTAACATCATGTCCTCATCGTCTGACAGGCACCAGCACGGGCATGCAGAAGCCTTTTAACTAATCTGTTGGTTTCCAGAGATTCCTAGGCTTCCTCCAAGGAGAAAGACCTCAGATACCTACCTTTACCTTCCATGTCTCCTAAGGCTTCCAGCTTCTCCGTGCTGGTCAGATGGACCTCACTGGCCATCGAGCCCAGGATGGAGTTGAGATCCTGGTTGTCGCCTTTGTACTCTACAGTAGGGCCTGGGCAATATCTGAGTGGAGCAGGGCATCTCGCCAGCAGCAGGGACTGGCTCTCCAGGGACACTTCAGGCCTTGGCAATGACAGGGAGAGCGCAGCCAGAGGGACACCATCCACAGCAGCAAGACTCAGCACCTCCTGTGGCTCCGGGGTCAAGCAGGTCTCCACCGTGGCCAGGGCAGAGCCCAGATGATCCGCAGAGGCTGTCCCTTCTGTAACAAGACAGCGTTGGAAGCCTCCTCTGCACGCTGGCAGTCAGCGCAGAGAGACTTGGCAAAAAAAGGTTATTAATAATAATAATAGAGACTCTTTTGCCTTTCACCTACCCTTTCCATCTCAGGATCTAAAGGGCTGTAGCCACAATAATGTAATGAAACTCCCTCCCCCCCAGGCAGGGTGGGATGCTGAGGCCAAGAAAGATTAAATTCCCTTTCCACGGCCATTCATCACCCATCACCTCCCTCCATGCTGCACTGTGTGTAACCCGCTCTAGACACAGCCCTCGTCTCCTTTGATACGCCGAGGGATGGCAATTATTTCTTGCTGAGACACAGAGAGTTCACACCGCGCCCCCTGTGCCAAATAATGCAAAGCAAAAACTCAACACGAGATGAAAGGAAAGGGAGAAACGGAGAGAATTTAACCTCTGCTGAGCGCACGGCATGTCCCGTGCCAGCCGTGGGCCAAGCACGAGCTGCAGAGACCCAGCAGCCTCCCCGTGCCCCTGGTGCTGGGTTGTTGGCTGGAGGGGCCATGTAGGAAGAGAGGGTAAGGAGGGAAATATGTCTCCCCACCTTCAGTGTTTCCCAGGGCTTCCTGCAGCTCCTCGCTGGTTAAGGGGACCTCCATGGTGCTCACATTGGAGTCTGGGTCCTGGGTGTCGACTGTGTCCCCTGGGATATGGGGGAAGATGGAGTTTAGTCAATGGCAGTTTGAGGAAGGAAAGCCCAAAAATACAGACAAGAGCTCACAGGGAGACTTTTGGCTACAGCTTTACATGTCTCACCAAAAGGGCAGTTCACAACACTGAGGACTCTCATATCCACAAAGGATTTGGTGATTTTAAAGAGTCTCACTCCAAAACTGCTTCTCAAACCAGGGCCTTTTTGGCCAGATGTAAGCTGGAGGTCCAAGCTTTCCCCAGAGCACAGCACTCTCTCATCCCAGGCTAACCCCAACTCCTTTGCTGCCCTGGAGATCCTATAACGCATAAATCCCAGAGCAACCCACTCTGATCTCTCAGCTGACCCGGCTCCAAGCAAGAGATTGGACTAGAGACCTCCTGAGGTCCCTTGCAACCTGAATTATTCTGTGATTTTTTTGCCCTGGGAAATGTCAGCGTTTTGGCTTTTTTTTGATTCCAGCTCTTTCTCCTCTTCTTCCCCAAGTCTTAAGCTTTTTGCCCAGCAGATGCTCCAGATCATGAACAATCCCAAAATGCCGATATGCTCACCATCCACAGCCACGTCCTCCAGTGCCTCCTGGTGATCCTGGTCTGGTAAGTGGATTTCCACTGGGGGAAGGGGAGACTTCACCTCACTGACATCGACAGGCTTCCCTAGAATCGATGGGGAAATGTGTTTCATTTCAGAAAATTTCCTAGAGATTTGGAAAACACAGTTCTGGGTTGTGAACGTTCCACTCTCTGGAAACCTCCATGGGGGAAATTTCCATGGGGATCCCTGACCGCAGTGGGAGACGACCAGAAAGCAGCACAGAAAGGTGGAAAGCATCTGACCGAGCATGTACAGACATCACCATCTAGTGGTCTCTAACACCAACAGCCTCAACGCCGCCCAAAATTTCAGCAGGGCTGGAGTTATTACCGCTTGCAAATGGCTTCTCCCAGGGAGCTGTGAGCAACTGCCACCTCCGTCTCCTGCCCCAGGAGGTACCTCTGGCTGCTCATACTCCTTAACACCAGCCAGCACAGTGACACAGCCCTGATTTTTTGGGGAAAAAAGCCACTCCAGACCCCCAGCAGCTGGTCCTCACGGTGATGGGCCGTGATCCTGCAAGCAGCCATGCCCACTGGCATCAAGGGGCAGTGCACTTAGCTAAACAGGGGTCTTGTCTCATCCCACAGCTCAAAGGGAAATGGAGATCTTCTGCCCGAATTGCACACGTGACATCACTCCGGTTTCTCCAGCGTGCTGGAGTCATGGAGGCGGGACAGAGCATTACAGCGGAGCATGATGGAGCAAACACTGTCAAACTTGAAGGGGAGGAGCAGGTTTACCTTCCATCTCCAGCACAGCCTCATCCTGCTCTTTTCCCTCCTCGTTGTGCATGTTCATGCACAGGCTGGACACACTCTTCCTACCAAGGGAGCACAGGGACACATGTAAGATATTATTTGCCCCTCTGCTGCGCTCTGGGGAGACCCCCCTGCAGTGCTGCCTCCAGCTCGGGGGGTCCCACCAGCAGAAGGAGACGGAGCTGTTGGAGCGGGGCCAGAGGAGGCCCCGGAGATGCTGGGAGGGCTGGAGCCCCTCTGCTGGGAGGACAGGCTGGGAGAGTTGGGGGGGTTCAGCCTGGAGAAGAGAAGGCCAAAAAGGGGAGACCTCAGAGCCCCTTCCAGTGCCTAAAGGGGCTCCAGGAGAGCTGGGGAGGGACTCTGGATCAGGGAGGGGAGCGACAGGATGAGGGGGAACGGTTTTACACTGAAAGAGGGGAGATTTACATGAGATATGAGGAAGAAATTGTTGCCTGTGAGGGTGGTGAGCCCCTGGGGCAGGGTGCCCCGAGAAGCTGTGGCTGCCCCATCCCTGGAGGTGTTCAAGGCCAGGTTGGACGGGGCTTGGAGCAACCTGGGCTGGTGGGGGGTGTCCCTGCCCAGGGCAGGGGGTGGAATTGGGTGATCTTTTAAGTTCCCTTCCAGCTCTACCCATTCTATGAGAAACCCTTCCCAGCACCTGTCCCTCTGCCCTGGGGCCCCAGATCACCCTGGGGGGAGACCAAGGGGTGGGACTGGCTCAGCCCCAGATGGTCCCTGTGTTACCTGTTCTGGGGTGCAACAGCCACCTCGAGGGGGCTGGTGGCTCTGTGCTGCAATGCTTGGGAGCAGCTCTCCGTGGCACTGCTGGCCCTTGAGCCACGCTGCTGTGGCTGATCCCGGCCATCACTCATGTACTTATTTTTCTTCTTCTTCTTCTCCTTGCCCCGTGGCTGCCATCCCTTCCGTAGCATCTTGAAGGAGCAGGGGGTCTGGGGACGGGAGCACCCACACCATCAAACAGTGTCTGAGCATGGGCTGAGCCCAGGGAGAGGAACAGGAGGGACCCGGCAGCCACAATTTGTGGGGCTCTGGGAGGGTCCTGTCCTCTATCTCTGGAGGGTCCCCAGCTCCTGTGCAGGAGTCTACCCTAGGCTGTGCCACACCAGGGTGCTTAGCAGCAGCCAAATCCATCTCCAGGACAAATCCTTGCCTGTGCTTCCCAGGGGGATGTACGGACATGCAGCCCCTGTCATGACACAGCTGCATCCCTGGGCATGAAGGTTGCGTGTGTGGGTGATGGGCACGTAGTTTTGGGGTGCGGGCATGCTTCCAAAAGGAGTCATGTGAATGTGTGTGGGGCCCAGCACTGCCCAACCTTACCTGCGTTGCTTTGTCTGCCTTTGGCACATCCTTCCTGCACACCGCATTCCTGGGTGGGTACGTCTTGGCCATCAGTATCATGCACCATGGGGCAGCCCCCCTGCAAAGTTGGCACCATCCTTCATCACCCTCCCCTTCCCATCCTGCAGCTTTTTGGCCTTGGGGACGAGCGGAGAACATAAGACCGAAACATGGACAAATGTGGGCTCCCACCACCCATGGAGGCAACCCCTTGCTTACTTGTAGGTCCTGCTGGATGTGGACTTCTTGCTGGACATAGTGCTCCTGCTGGATGTAGAAGTCCTACTGGACATGGAGGTCCTGCTGGACATGGAGGTTCTGCTGGATGAGGACATGCTCCTGGGAGCTGACAGGGCTTGGGAGCAGGCAGATATGTCCTGACTCTCTGCGGAGCCACATCGTGGTAGCTGCTGCTGTGCCTCGGTGACTGCAGGGCCACAGAGTTTTGGCAGCTTGGAGGGCTCCATCCCCTCCTTGTCCCAGCCCTGCTGTGAACGGGGCCACCCGTGGGGATCCGCTGACACCCGGGGGTGTCGCACCCCGTGCGACTGCAGCCGAGGGCACAGCTGGGGAGGATGCGACCTGGGAACTCTGTGCCCGTGGTGGGGCAGGAGGTGACTTCAGTGCCAGGGGCTGCCTAGCAAGAGGGTCCTGCAGACCAGAGCCCCCCTGCAGTACCCTGCGCCCCCCTCC